CTCCCTCAATGGTTCCGTTCTGCAGCTCCTTTCCTTCCTGATGGACCACCACAGCATTACCTTTGTGATCGCTCGGATCTGAACCACGTTTTTTTCTTTTTGTGTGGAATTGAGTGCGGATGTTAGTAGTCGGTTGAAGGAGTTGGATGGGGTGGCCAGGGAGGGGGGTCGAGAAGAGGGAATCGCAGAGATTGGACGCCCTCACCCAATATTCGGTCGTCTCTCTGCATCGTATGAGGCAATGTAGCATATCTTCTGGTTCATTATGTGAGCATACTGCACATAAGTTTAAAAAAAAAAAAAAAAAACTGTTGGGGTTATTCTTCTTCTGATATGCAGCCACTGATTAACCGGTAGAGCGACGGATGAGATGAGCCGTTGGAGGCTTCTGATTTTGAACGGATGGATCGAGTTTTTTTTATTTTTTTTTCCATGGTATTTGTGCGATCAGATTACCGTATTCCCCTGAACATAATGCACCCTGATATGAATGTATGAAAGGCATGTTTCCGGCCCGATACAGTCAAAATGAGGGTGCGTTGTGTTGGGGGGAAGACGGTAGCGTCGTGGCCTAGTAACTTCTGCCATGGGTTGTTGATCGTTGTGTCAGGATCCTTTTTTTCTTTTTCTTCTTTTCAAAAGCCCAGAGTGTTGTAGAGGCCAAGGACCACACCCGCGGTGATTGCTAGTAGCGGCAGCCAATGGTTGTCCTGACATGATAGCCCACCTAACCTACCCGTCCCCACGTTGGGTCAGGATCCTTTGTTTTTTGAGGATTACAGGCCTCGCCACACCACTCTCGGAATGTGCAAAAGACAAAAATGTGGCGGGCGCATCTGGTCATGTTATAGTGAGAAGTTAGTTCTCATTTTGCACATTTCGAGAGTGGTGTGGCGATGCCCTAGGCTGTATCCCAGTTCGACTGTGTATTCCTCGGTGGGGACATTCGTTTTGAGACTTCTGCTTCTATCTGGTGTCCCCAAGCCCAGTCTGCGGGATAAAATTCCAGATCTTGAATCGCCGTATCTATTCTGAAGATTGTTTTTGGCGACGGTCCCAACACTCTTGCTTTTCTGAGAACAAAGGGGTTTAGGACTGTTCTTTCCACCTCCTTATTCATTATACATGCGAGGCCCTCCGTGGAGTGGGTAATTGGAAAAGAGGTAAACACCGCCAGGCTATCCGGCCCTTGCTGTTTAAGTGAGGGTGTTAAATCCTGCACCCTCACTTCCCATTCACCCAATTTCCAGGTTGAGGTTTCCCTCAACAACTCCTTCCAGCCTTCTGGGATGCTGTTTATAATGGAGTGTATGTAGATTCTCGTCTCGTTGAATAATGGAGTGTATGTAGATTCTCATCTCGTCGGTGACATGTTTTGAGCTGGGACCCTCACTCCCCGTTCATCCGATTTCAGGTTGAGTTTCCTGTCCTGTCACCCGGTCCTTTTTCTCCTCATTCCACAGATGATGGCCCACTGTCCCAACTCCATGTTAGATCCACGATAGCCATCTCTTTCCGCTAGGCTTAAGGGATAGGTGGTTATCACTTTCGTCTCTCACCCACGGAGTACCAAACAGGGGTTGCCGCAACACCTTATCTTTGGATTTGGGTCTACCCACCTTCTTCGGCACGACTTCCCACCATATCTGTAGCAATGCAGTCCAATATGGTGTGGGGGGCCTGGTTTCAGTTAAACCGACTCGGACGAAGCACAATATCTGATAATATCCAAAATCACAGGAATCTTCCCTTTGTACAAGCAAGGAATCGCATCTTTATACAAGTGATGCGACACACTTGAGACGAGGGCAATCCAACAATGAAACCAATATGGAACTGCAAGGGAAATGAGCAATAGCGAGATGACAATGTCCAGAATGCACAATCATGTTGAAGGCCAGATAGAATCACAGTGTCCATAAAGCAGAAATGCACCTATATAACACCAATGAAGAATCATAACACTGAAAACCAATGTCAATGAGAGCTTGCTCTTGCAACCAACAACATGAGTGTCCAGGCCCTATCTCCCTAGCGCCCAGCCTGCTTCCTATGCAGCTACAGTCTGCCTACTAATTGACAATGCAACTGTTGACGTCAGCAGCTCACGAAGTACTTGAAGATGTTGCCCAATGCAGACCCCATCGCCAATACCAGGCATGTGCCCTCATATCATCATCATCATCATCATCATCCTTCTCTATTCGCTGACTTATTCCCACGTCTTCCCTCTGTACACCCGGAGACCACTCCTGCGCCTCGCTGTAGTCGAAGCCCATCCAACTATGGAGGCTGGGCTATGGCGCTGCCCTCAGCAGCTCGCTGCTTCCTGCACGACCGCACGCACTAGCACCTTGCCTCTCAGTGCCAGCAGCAGCCTACGAGCGTCCGCTCCCGCAGCGCTGCCGCCATCGCTGAATACCCGGCCAGGCAGCGAGCTCTTTCTTATATGGAAACACCCTGCCTCTCTCGGCGGCCTGGCTGGCCTGGGCCTCTGCCCAGAAGCTTCTGGTAGGCCCCACGAGGCTGTGCCTCCGACGCTGCTGCTGGGCCTCCGTTCAGTTGGGCCTCCCAACTGCCTGTGTATATGAGGCTGCGATTCTCGCCCATGGCCTGCATTTTTGGAAAGGCCTGGAAGGCCGTGGAATGTCTTGCTGCTCGGCCTGTGTTTCCTTCAACCAACTGGCGTGGCGAAACTGCGTGGAACCCAAATACGAAGTTGACAGCTGAGGGCCTCGCGTGATTTGTTAGGCCCGCCTTCACTTAGGGCGGGCACATCTGAAACAGGAGCCCCTTAGGCCTGCCGAGGACCCAGATCCTCGCAGAACACAATAGAATTGAATAAATCCATTTGATCGTTTTCGTGATTATGATTACATCGACTATCGTTGGGAGGCCTCCCATGTGATTTGTTTTGCAGCTCCCGTCTGACCGTGTATCTTCTTCTTCTTCTTTTTCTTCTTCTTTTTTTTTTTTTTTTTTTTTTTTTTTTTGTGGGAACAAAACTCCAGTCAATTCGTGGGGAGCAACACGTGCTGGGAACCGTGCCCAGCGTCCCATATGGAATCTTACCGTGTATCTCACGTACAAGGCTGGCCACGTTGTCGAGAGCGCCAGCTGCCCACATCCCCATGTGGCATGTGCCTTTACGACCCACTTGCACAAGGTATTGTTGAAGCAATCAGGTCTTTGGACTGTCATCCTGATCCGTTTGTTCCCTGTCTGTCTGTCTGTCTGTCTGTCTGTCTTTCTCATCTCGAAAGCCCTCACTGGCAGTGAAAATCTGCCTGCTATCTCTTCCAGGAAAGCGGTTCTGGTTAGGGTGAAAAAAAGGGGGAAAAAAGAGGATCACCACCGTTGCATTCCTGCCTTCCTCAGATTGGGTCTGTGGCACTGGAGTCATGTTCAAATTCGCAGTCAAACATGAGTTAAAACCCACTTGAGTCTGTAAGTGGGTCTGTGCCACAGACTCCAGTGCGTCTCTTGTGGACTTGGCACACGATTTTTAACTCATGTTTGACTGCGAATTTGAACATGACTCCAAGGCAAAAGTTGCTTGTACATGACTCCAGTGCCACAGACTCCAGTGCGTCTCTTGAAACCCACTTATGTTTTATTTTAAATGCGTGTGCCAAGTCCGTGCACACCCTTTTTTTTTTTTTTTTTTTGAACGCCTGTGTTTTGGCCTACTCCGTGCTCTTCCAAAATTGGCTGCCATCTTCACCCAAATACAACGCCCAGTCATTATAGCTGTATTTGGGACATCTTTCAGTCCAGATACTGCGATAATGACCAGGTGTTGTATTCGGGTCAAGATGGTAGTTTGGTCCCAGTCTCAGAGCTGACCGCGCCAGGCAAAAAACATTGCATGGATATTATTATTATTATGTGTCGAAGTCGTCTGGCCAAACTGACTTGGGACCAAACTGCATCGCTACCATCTTCACCCGAATAAAACGGCCGGTCATTCAAGCTGTATTTGGTGCACCTTTCAGTCCAGATGCACTGGGCGCTGTGTTGCGTTCGGGTGAAGACAGTAGTTTGTTCCAAGTCTGGGAGTCTACTTGACCGGGCACACAAAAATTATGCATGGCTATTTTGGTCCCAGTCTGTCTTTGCCGAACTGAATTCAATTTGGCAGCACCAAAAAAAAAAAGAAAAAAAAAAAAAGTAAAGGGGCCCTTGGGGGGTGTAAAAACATAGCCCTTGCTTGTCTGAGTATGTAATATGTATGTGAGGGAGATTGACTCGGTGCTGATTTCTTTTGCATCCCTGTTTGCCCTAAGCAGAAGTACCAACTGATTTAGCAAATGAGCACCCTTTTTTTTTTTTTTTTTTCCTCAATTTGAAGTCCCATGTTTGATTTCACACCAGAACAAAGCCCCCTTTGATCAAAACGATGACTCCCTTTCGCCTAAGTGCGAGTGGGGGTCACAATCGGCTGAGGACCAAGTTGGCAAATTGGCAAATATGGGTGAAGGATTCATCATTCATATGACGACCCCCTTTTGACAGCCTTTTGACCCCCTTCTGAGGCCCTTTTGACCCCGTTTTGACCCCCTTTTGACCACCTTTTGATCCTCTTCTGACCCCCTTCTGACTCCCTTCTGACCCCCCTTTGACCCCCTTCTGACCCCCTTTTGATGCCCTTCTGACCCCGTCTTGAACCCCTTCTCACCCCCTTCCGACCCCCTTCTGACCACCTTTTGACCCCGTTTTGACCCCCTTCTGAGCCCCTTTTTGACCCCCTTCTGACCCCCTTCTGAACCCAGTCTGACCCCCTTTTGCCTGTATCTGAGTGGCAGTCAAAATTGGATGAGGAGTCAGGACCAGGTTTGCGAACGTGGGAGTGAGGACGCAGGGTTGACAGTACAATGACCCCCTCCTTTCGCCTGAGGCAGACTCACCTCCACCTTTTTTTTTTTTTTTTTTTAATTATTATTATTATTAAACTCCCTTTTGGATATTAGAGGTGTTGAGCCAGACTCACCTCCTCCACTCTGGAAGGGGAATCTTTACTTTTTCCTTTTTTGTTCTTTTCAATCTTTTCGTAGTAATTAAGGGGAAAAGGAAAACTTATATTATGTTGTCTGTGAGTCTGTAACTAGTAAGTTTTGTAAGCGGTAAATGCAAATGAACTTGACAACTTGGTACATATGGCAGACCAAGAGTCACCAAATTAAAATATATGCGTATGTTCATGCATCGGTCTGCTATTTGGTGCCAGGTACATTCATTTCACCTCAAAAAACTTGCACTGTATGCGTATGTACGGCTCCAATCCTGCTGCACCGGTATGTGCTTCTGAGTCGTAACATCTAGTAAGAGAGAACCCAAGCCATAAGTGCTGTGATGAGAGCCATCAAAATTGCATCGAGCGTCGAATGCGAAATGTGAAAGGGAAGGTAAAGTGTGCACAAGGCATGCAACAATCTACAATTGCAGAGGAGAGGATGCTGCATCGACTCAGCTGAGCTGCGGGCATAGTCGCCAAACCCCAACCCTCCGCCTCCTCCAGCCAAGTCCCCTCCTTTATCACTTCCCTGCTCTCCATTTCCTCCCTCCCCGCCTTGCCATCCTTCCCCTCCTTCTCCCCAATAAGCTTCTCCTCCCTCCCCTCCACCTCCGCCTCCGGCTTCCCCTCCTCCGTCCCCTCCTCCGTCCCCTCCTCCTTCCTCTCCTCCTTCGCCTCCTCCTCCCCAATACCCTTGTCGTGCCTCCCCTCCACCTCCCTCCTCCCCTCCTCCATCACCTCCTTTTCCTCCTTTCTCTCCTGGACCTCCTCCCCCCTCTTGTCCTCCTCCCTGTCCTCCACCTCGCTTTCCTCCTCCTCCTTCCTCCCCTTCTCCCCCTCCTCCATCCCCTCCCCCTACTCCTGCACCTGCGCCAGGGGCTGGCCCGTCTCTCTGACTTCCTCCAGGGGCGCCACCGCCCTGGCCTCCTCCTGGAGGCACCCTCGCACCTGTCGCACCTCCCCCTCCGTCATATCTGCGCCCTGAGCTCCTCAGATCTCCCTGGTCAGGCCACCCGTCTGCCATGTTTATGCATGAAGGAGGCTGGACACTGCTGCTGCCACCGAACGCCTGCAGGCAAAAGAAATATGGCGGCGCGCCAATGGAGCTCTCTAAGTTTACGTTTCTGAGCTGTATGCTTCTGCACGGCTCTGCTCGACTACAAGCTAACCTCCCCATCCGTCCATCAAGTGCCGACCCTGTCCCTCTCACACCGTCAAAGACAATGTTGGTGATCTCCACACCGCGGCTTCCTTGCTTGCATCGACGACCATTGCAATGATAGAACGCGTCGATGACCAGAGGCATGTGGACATTAATCATTTTAAGATTCCTAAACACAACATTATCGACCGATCCTTGTCCGTTGGGCCAGGCCTTGATTCGTGCCCCGTTTGCCGACCCTTCGTATGTAATGTCGCTTATCTGTACGTCATGGATATATGCTATAGTTCCTCCTTCTCCCAAGCCGCCAATGCTGTATTAACACCGCCACCAAAAGAGCACCATCCCACGTGGAAGAGGGAGTGAGGGCATATACTCACACAAGAACTGTCGTAAATGCGCAAAAAAAAATTAATGTACCATACAATAAGCGTATTCCCAGAGAGAAAAACCAAGATGGGCTACAGAGAGAGAGAGAGAGAGAGAGGTGTAGAATGTACCATAAAATAAGCATATCTCCCGAGAGAAGAACCAATGTATGTGTGTGTGTGTGTGTGTGTGTGTGTGTGTGTGTGTGTGTGTGTGAGAGAGAGAGAGAGAGAGAGAGAGAGAGAGAGAGAGAGAGAGAGAGAGAGAGAGAGAGAGAACNGTGTGTGTGTGTGTGTGTGTGTGTGTGAGAGAGAGAGAGAGAGAGAGAGAGAGAGAGAGAGAGAGAGAGAGAGAGAGAGAGAGAGAGAACGGCGGCAACCACTTGTAATTCACTAAATTCAATTGTTTTTGCTGGGACTATGTCCGATGGCAGCTGGAGTACATCATACAGGCACAGGCACAAAAACAATCAGGTTCTTCTCTTTTGTTTTTCGTTTTTCTTTTTATTATTTTATAAATAAAATAACTCCTGCGGACAGGGTAGGACATATGATTAATATCAAAAAAGAAAAGAAAAGAAAAAAAAAAGAGGCAGCCTTTACCGGGTTTACCCCACTATGTTTATATGCTATCTGGATCTGCTTATTAACTGCTGTCAACCTACCAGTGTCCGCCAATACTCCTACGGAAGGTACATTGAAATGACAGAAAATAAAATAAAATAAAATAAAAATAAATGACAGTTACGTGGCAAATTGTTCGAAAGCAAGTTCATAGCTTTAAATGGAGCCGCCCGATCGTCGATCGAAAACCCATCAGTCCTTTCGGTTCTCGTACCACCACTGGGATAGAGCGCTGGCACAAGGGCTTTCACCCCAAAAAAAAAAGTCCCGGTCAAGGTCCTAGACAGACCCAGCACAAAAAAAAAAAAAAAAAAAAAAAAAAAAAAAAAAAAAAAAAAAAAAAAAAAAAAAAAAGCTTTAGACACTTTGCTGCAGATATGACAACTTAAATTTGGTTCTATGTAACTTAGGGCAGATTACCCAGAAACGCGACACTCGGCGAGCGGTCCTTATGTTTCCGTAAAACATTGGCACATCCCGGCTTAAAGTTTCCGCATCCATTCCATCTGCCCAACTTATTTAGATCTCTTAAACCACCCGTACTTGGGCGACGCCTTAGCGTTAAGGCTATGTGATTTCCGCGGCCGGCGGGCCATCAATAAATCGAATCGACAGCCCGCGCTGCTTCGAGATTTGGGCGGCCGGCGCGGCGCGCAGTGCCCAAGTACTGGTGGTTTTAACTTATCGAATTCCTTCCTTGCCTCCATCCAAATCTTCTCCGCACCCATCCTAATCAAACAAGTCCCTCAGTGACCCTCAGTGCTTCCTTGTCCAGCTGAGGACAAATCACAACAATTTCTCCTTCACTGCCCACAAACAATTTCTCCTTCACTTCCCACAAACAAGTCTCTCAATGACCCTCATTGCTTGTACAAATCACAACAATTTGTTGTTCCTTGTAACAGAGAAATTGTTGTTCCTTGTACAGCTGAGGGCAAATCTCAACAATTGAATTGGTTGGGCTTAAAGAATTAGCCTTAAAAAAAAATAAAAAAAATTCTCTGCAGTTACGACGAAGATCAACTGCCGGTGGGAACATCAGATCCAACGACCTACGCTTTTTTCAATTACTAAATGATAGTGAAATCACGTCATCCATGGACAGCGTCACAGCCCGTAGCTGTTTCATAACTATGACTACCGACATTGGCATTGAGACATTGGCAGGCCCTATCGTGTTCACGCGAATCTATTCGGGTGAAGACGGTAGCCTCTTCAACGGTAATAGGTCCCGGTCCCGGTTTCCAACAAGCAAAAGACTTGGTCAATTTCAGACACAGCATCTCTGCATCGAAACTTCCTCCGAGCGCTAGGCACATTCCGAGCAATTGACATGTGCAATGTGCATATTATGCCTTTCGGCGGCAGTCGCGGAGCCTCCCACAGCCGACGGATCATATGTCCGTCAACAGGGGGGAGATTGTAGACTGTTGGCCTGTGGGCCTGTGTGCAAGTGCAGGGCACTGAGGGCAGGACTTCCGTGGAGGTTGGCCTTGCGCTGGTTGGACAGGAAACCAGCAACAGATAGATGTGTATTTCAAATTTTTGTCCATAGACTCCATGCTTCCCTTTTTTTTTTTTTTTTTTTTTTTTTCCCCTTGTCTTCTTCTTCTTCTTCTTGTTGAAGATGTCCTGAACAGCAGGAGGGAATCTAGTTCCCCCGATCTTCGAGTCCCACAACCGTCGTCACTGTACTCGGACCCAACTAACTCTACCATCATCATACCGTACCTGCCCTACCATCCGTGCCCCGATGTTTTGTTGTTGTTGTTGTTGTTGTTGTTGTTGTTGTTGTTGTTGTTGTTGTTCCGTGCATCGAATATTAAATCTGTAACCCTTCTTACTACTGCCTGCCTGTGGCAATCTGAGCCACTGGGCCCCAGTTGAGGCCCGGTTCCAGACAGGCAGGGTAGGCCTAAGGGACGACGGTTCAGATGAGGCCCAGATGGGCCTGGACCACAGCGGTTCAGGCAGGCCTAGGGTAGAGGCCTAGGGCAAACGGCCACAAGGCCGGTACCGGTCCAGCATAGGACCTACCGGCGGCGTTTCAGAGGCTGCCACATTTAGGCGCCAAGTCCAGTTTGAATCTGGAACGTCGATTCAGATTAACGATCCAGGCCGGTAGGTACCAGCAGGCAGGAGGCCGGCCCAGGACTACAAAAGGCTGGGTACCAGCCTCAGCGGTAGGTTAGAAGCTAGAGGTTAGTAGCGTTAGCGTTAGTCTTCAGGATTAGCGCAGCAGTTCAGCGATAACTCCATTAGCGCAGCACTGCGGCACAGCGAGGAGCAGCGAGAGAGTAGTAGTCCAGCGGCGAGGAGATTAGTGCAGCATTGGGCGCAGCGCCAGTTACCGGCCCAGGCCCCCTTGCAGCGCCATAGCTACTGTGCCAGGTACCAGGGAGGAAGGCTTTGTCTCCTTCACCGTTCCTCTCTCTCTCTCTCTCTCTCTCTCTCTCTCTCTCTCTCTCTCTCTCTCTCTCTCTCTCTCTCTCTCTCTCCTCCTACCTTCTCAGTCTCAGGCTATTTCTGGGTTCTCCTATGGGACTACTGCAGTATGAGGGATGGTTACGAATTCTGATAACATGGGGAACATCGACATTGGGACTACGAGTTGAGGACTACTTGGGGATCTGATTTCATCTTCTTTCTGAAGATGTACTTGACATTGTGAGATCGATATCTGCGATATTGTGAGACTTGGCATTCGCGACATTTCGGATTTTCGTCACTTCTGACATTTCAAGATACTATCTTTGGAGACATTGAATTGATGTCATCTTCCCTCTCCTCCTCCTTTCGTCTCTCCCTCTCCGCCTTCGTCCATGGATGATCTCAGTCCCTGGCCTTTCGTCTATGTCTGAGACCAGGGCATTCACACCCCTGATGAATGTTTGAGAGTGTTCGACTGCAGTCCGAGTCAGGTCCGAGTCAGTCCAAGGTATCTCAAGTCTTCCGCTTGCATTCGTATTAACTCTGTATTATCTGGTCGGTTCTGGGAATCTGCGCCATACTTATGACTGTGTTTCACGAGTATGCAACACTGCCAGAATTCGTCGTAGTTGTTGTACTCGTATCTTTCCTGCTAAACTCCTTGACGGCATGCAAAATCTCCGTCAGAAAACTGAGATCACTGCTGTTTCAGAATCGAAACTATATTCGTGTGATTTCTGGTATTATGCTTCGGCCACGGTTTGAGATATACACTACTAATAAATTAAATCCCTAGGGTCTCGTTAGACACTCCTAAAGGATTCCTAAAGGATTTAGGACGAGTCCTAAAAGAATTTTAGGAATGGGTGCGGGACGCCCATCTATGTGTTTGATGATTGATTTTCAAGAGTTTCTATGGAATCAACTATCACAATCGTCAATCAAAAAAAAAGATTTGAAATATGTATTTACTATTTACTTATTGTAGTCTTACCTCTACTTGGTAGTTTAGTAGCAGGCGTGTTTGGTCGCTTTCTTGGTTCACGAGGGGCTGCCTTGGTAACAACCACTTGTGTTCCAATTTCTTCAGATCTGTGTTTCATAGCTTTTTACACGCATTCCTAAAGAAAAGCTTTTAGGACTGGTCCTAAAGGGTATCCCGCGGCCCGTTTTCATATACGTATACGTAGCCGCGTGTACGATGTCCGCCCATTCCGGCCTCATGTCCGTGGTACACAGGGCGGCGGGCCATGCCCGGTTCATGACGGGGAGGTGAAAAGCCAGCGGACGCAGGCGTTCAAAATTTTGAATTGAAACTTTTGCAGACGCAGGGCGGCGGGCAGGAGGACAGCCATCGGACATGTATACAGCCTCCAGCCGGGAACAGAAGCGGCTTCTCCTGCGGCATCGACATCAGGCGTTACGTGCAGGACTCCGACAGGCGATGGAGATGGACCTTCGCAGCGGCGACCATGCGCTGTGTGAAGAAGAGCATGAGGCTGTGGCATTGGCGGTGACGGCCGTTGTCATGAACACGATGAGCGACACGTCGTCGACACACCGGCGAATGCGTTTGCAGGGGGGCACCGGTCCCGCCGCGCGAGTCATCGTCCTCGTCCGCGTTTCAAATCGAAGCTAACGGTTGACTACGGACGAGAGGGCACCCCCGCTTGCCCTCCACAGTCCACTTCGCCCTCCACGACTGGCCCGACGGACAGCTTCTGCACCATTGAGTCTGAGACAACGGTGCCACGCGCGCGTCGCCAAGACTCCGTGAAATGTGGGTTCCTAAAAATTTTAGATGCTCGGGAGGAGGTAAAATTTTTAGGAACTTTTGCCTGGGGATTTCTAAATCCTTTAGGACTAGTCCTAACGCCGTTTTCACATTTTC